TTCTTCGTCTTCTTCTTCTTCTCCCCCCGCCACTACTGGCGTTGCTGCTTCTTCCCAGGGATTCGCGGTGCTAACATTCCGGCGCTATAGCAGGAGACCTTCCTCGGCCAACGGATATCGACTTTCCCACACGGTTCATTTCGGGGAGTTTGCGTTCGAAACTTCGAACCCGCCCAACTTTCGTTTCGCTTCGCTTAGTCTTATCGGCAGCGAAGGGAGATGAGCGCGGGAGTAGAAGAAATAGGTCGGACGACGATAGAAGCGACGAAGATAACGAAAGTGACCGAGGTGACCGAGCAGACGGAGATGACGGGCGAAGGAGATGGTCGTCGATCGAGAATGACCGATTTTCGATTCGACCGGAGGATCGTGTAGGTCCGCGAAACTTTCCCACAACGATCGTTTCGTCGCCCCCACGCTCGTTCCCTTTTAAAGAGCGCGAGCCCTGCACAGGTTCGCCTCGGAAGAAGAAAAGAGAGAGGACGTGACTCGCGGACCAGCGCGAGAACGAAGACGAAGAGAAAGAACCGATGGACCGAGTGGCACGGAAAGCTTTTTCTGAAATCACAGGACCCGTCCTTACCTCGCTACCCTTCTTCCTTTCTTCTCGTTCGTCTTCTCGCGACGCGCAGTCGGGCATCAATAATTTAACGCCCTGTCGTACCGATAAACCTGCACCGCTCGACGACCAGCAACGAGGAAAAGGAAGAAGCACAAGGGGAAGGAGCGAAGGTGCGCGGCGCTCGTTCGCGAGAGACCACTGAGAAAACTGAGAGGAAGCGAAGGAGCAGCGTCGTATCGCATACGAGCAGAACAGAACAGAACCATCGTGTGGACATCGTGGATCAACCCGAGTTTCTTACGTCCGTTCGTTCACATATAGTCAGTGACGCGTCGCCCTCTCGCTCCATACCTCTCTCATCTTCTTTCTCTCCCTTACCCTTTCTCCCTTTCCCTTTCCCTTTCCCTCTTCGATTACAAGCGGCAAGAAGCGGCAAGAAGCAGCATTACACGAGACACGCCGCGCCGACAAATCGACGGATTATGCTGGACGAGCGCCGACCCACCGGGAATAAATGAATTGGCTAACGACGCGAATCCTCTCGTTACTCACTCCCCCCTCCCATACCATCCCACACCTCTCTCTCTCTCTCTCTCTCCTCTCCTCTCCTATTTTCTCACTCTTCTCTTCCATTTTCGCTTTTCCTTCGCGTTTTCTCGCGGATCAGCGTCTCGAGATTCACGCGATTTCGCGGAATCGTCATCGCCGATCAGACCGAGAGAAAGCCCACGCCACCGACCGAACGAATCGCGGAAACTTAAACGCATTAGTACAGAACGAGTAACCTGCATTCACCAGAGGCAAGCTGTCGCCGAACGCGACTTATTACCTTGGCAACTCCGCTAATGAATTCGACGAGGAGATTACGTAACTTAGACTAACGATCCAATAACGAAGAGATTCCCGCTGGCAGTTTCGTGCCAACGAAGCTTATCAACTGCCCACACGCAATAATGGCTATACATAGAGAAAAGCAAAGATCCATGGAGTCGGCCAAAGTAGAACCGCATCGATCGTGTCTTTGGTAAGGCAACTAAGCGAGCCAACCGTAACCCTTACGCAATCCGTAGGATCCGATAAATGGGATGTGCATTGCCGTACAGCAGTTTCCGTAGCCCTACAAGTACCAGATGAGGTCCGGACGACGAAAAAAACGACGTAACTGACGTTTGACAATTCGGCTTTTCGTATAAAAAAATCCTACCGCATTGCCGCGTTATCGCGTTATCGCGCGAAGCAACGGTGTCAAAGTATCGACAGTGTCTGAAAAATTGTGAAACGTCGTCGTACGATCCATGATCATAGCTGGAAGAGTGAAAGCCACAGAAAACCCGCAAGTTCTACCGTATACTGGCTCGCCCCGACTACATCGCGATTACCCGGCGAACGACGAATCGGTACAACTGTAACACGGCTCGTTGGTTATCGCAAGATATTCAGAACTCGAAAAGAGAATGTTCTATATTCGGCGTGACACGGTAGACAGGAGATGGAGGAGAAACGCGATGATTTCCGATCCAGAACCGAACGCGATATCTTTCGAATTCCTGACGCAGCTTTAGCCTTCCCTCGTAGAAGCATTCAGGAAGCAAGCTACTAATTAGCGATTACCACTCGTTCACGCGGCACTCGAGAAAGAATATAATTAGCACTCACCTTTGTGCCGATGCGCCATGAAACCCTCGACCGGCCGAACCTGGCCTCTCGTAAAAAATCCGTAGAGCGTTCTCTTCGAAGAGTCATTCTCGACCATCTCGTCGTTCGAACAGATGGAAAGAGGCACCGGTCCCGCTTTCCCGTGAGTGTGAAGAGGTACGCGACGATCTCTTCCTATGCCGCTGCATCGACGCGAGCACTCTATCCTGGAAACGAGAACAAAATTAATGAACTTTTTGTCGTGCGGTTTCCATGGAATGCACCGAGCAGAGGTTTTCCCTCTATGCAACTCGATCGGAACCGTTTAAATTTTATTTCTTCCGTTCTTTTTCCTCTTGTTTGCCATCCACGATAGAATCATCATTTCCGATTCTTCTTGATACGTTTCGATCGCGCAATCGTTCGTTCCATCGCTCAAAGCCACAACTTTTTCTCCTTCTGTTTTCATCTCGCGTTTAACAGAATATCGAACGAGCAATCGTTTTGTTTTTCCGATGTTTCAGACAGCGACGAGAAACGACCGAAAATGAGCGAGTACGGATACGACAGGAGAGGTGGCAGGGAACAGCACAGACGCGGGGGAGGCAGAGGTGAGCACGAAGACGATGTCGACGATCGAGGAAGAAGCACCTTGCAGCGTTTCGATAGCATACAGGATCCCGGAAAGCGTTATCTGCTCAGAGAGTGCATAGGTTCTGGCGTGTGCGGCGATGTTTACGAAGCGATCGATCAACAAGCCGGTACAGTTTCGGCAATCGGTTTTTACAACTGTCAGTTTCACGATACGTTTTCTTCGACACGCGTCGTATTCTTACAGGAAACAAGAGAGTTGCCGTGAAGGTGCAGAAACTCACTCCTGAGTCACAATCCCTGATCATCGAGGAATACAAGATTCTTCGTGACTTTGCGTCTCATCCTAATCTGCCAGACTTTTATGGGATTTATCGCAGAAGATCTGGCAAGAAGACCGAGTACGATCAAATATGGTTCGTCATGGAGGTAAGGTTTGCCCGAGGGTTCGTCTCGAAGTATACGGCATTATCGCATACGACGTAAGTGTTATTTGCCTGAAACGTTTATATCGCGTTTGAACATCGATCCCGAGATATACCCCGTAACGCCACTCCTCTAACATCGTAATTCTTCGGAGAAAAAAAGAAAAGTTTGGAGACCGCGAACAGACACGGCATGAGAGGAGCGAGGGTGGGGTTCGGGTGGACGAGGCCGAAGGGGTGGGTGAGGAGAAAGAAGGAAAGAAATAAAGAAAAAAGACGGATGGCAACGGCGATGGAAGAGTTGCTGTACGTACCCATGCCAGGACCCGGAGGCAATTTCAAGCATTTGAGACGGTCGAATACACGGATAATTTACGACACGCGCGGCCATTAAACAATCATTAAACTCGTTCGTGTACGCAGGTGAGCCCTGGCACGTCGCGGCCCTAATTTACGGGTGGACCTCCTCGGTGCGCCCGAAATATTATTACTTATCTCAAGCAAAACGTCGATATTCGATTTAACGTATACGCGTGCACGTTCAACCTTTCTGCTGCTCTCTAAATATCAATGACGTTCCGTTTTTCTTCCTTTGACGCAGCAGCCTCGACACGATGTCGCTACGTTTTGTAATTTAAAATTTACCAATGTGTTTCTATTTGAAAACGAATTTCACGATAGAACGATAAGTTGCTCGTTATCGAGGATTATACAGTCACGAGATAGTGTACGGGCGAAGATGGAGAACACGGGTAAAGAAACAGGTGTACAATAGGTGGCTTGGCACGGGCAACAAAGAAAATAACGACGGTTTTGCAAGTCAATCGATCCCGGTAAAAAGCCCGGTAAACGTTCGCGAAGGCAAGACCAGACCGGGAGAGCGGCAGGCAAGGAACAAGCTGGAAAAGAGGAACGACACGCAACGACAATGTAGCTAAGATTTATCGCCGATGGTATTTCATATCGTATCACGGGCAGGTTTTACGGTTGCCAGTAGACCAAGTTTTCGTGCAGCGCTCGATGCGCTTTCGCCCGAAAGAATGCATCGACCGTGTGCATCGCGTGCTTGTTCAGTCCGCTTAAAGCTCGTACTGTACGACTAAGAGCTTCCTCATCCAGATTCACAGACACGAGACCGAACGATGACGAATTTGCCAGAACGCGAATAAAATTCTTGATTCCAGATCCCTGATGAAACTGCGCTAGTCTCGCGTTAGAAATAGAAACAGGAACCGTTAACGTCGAATCTTAGATATCGAGATCGCAGGCAATTACGCGAAATCACTAGGAAAATTAAGCTTCTCCTCGAATACTCGATTTAAATTGCTTCCTCAATTTCGCGGCTAAAGCCAAGCTATCAACGCGACGTACGAAGTGGCGACTCAAATCGAAGATTGCTTTCTTAAGCCGTGATTACGATATAATTTTAAGAATCGGCACATCGGAGTGGCTCTCTCTTACGTATCTTAATATACGCAAACAGCATCCTCCTATAGCTGGCGAGTTTTACCTTCTATTGTCTCATTGTTTAATATTCTTTGTACGATTTGTAGCTCTGCGAGGGTGGCACTGTGATGGATCTCGTGCACGGTCTTCTAGCTATGGACAAGAAAATGCGCGAAGAACACATAGGCTTTATCTTGAAGGAGGTGATCCAGGTAAATTTCGCAAAGCTGATAGAGCGAAATGAAGCTTGACGAAACGCTGGAAATACTGCAATTTCTTCGTATTAGATATTATTTCGCGACACTCCTTTTTACGGGCTTTAATTTGGAACGAGCAACATTTTTGTAATGCATACGCGAGCAACGGAGAACAGGATATCAAAAGCAGGTTACCCGTATTACGATTCAACTGTAGTATCCTTTGGCATATTTCGAGTATACCCAGTATCATTGCGACCAGGCAGGCATAGGCGTCGCAAGTAGAAGAATCATTTTTGATGTTACTCGAGTCGAATGGAAGAAGCTAAAGGAAACGAAGAGGAGAAGGAGAAGAAAGAGTAAAAATGACGTCGGAAAGCGGACAAAGGAAGAGGGAATGAGGTAGTCGGTTCCGTAACGCGATCCGAATGTCTTGCGTGGCGTCGACGAAAGGAGCTGGTCTCGCGCGACGGGGTAACTCGCGACGGCATTCACCGAGTACGTATTCGCTTTTACGTACGCGCAAAACCAGGGAGCACGAGAAAGATCGCGAAAGACGCGCGTCAATGGGCCGCATTCTACGGCGTATAAATTACAAATAAGACAGGCGAGATAGCTCGCTAATTAACCTGCTCGCAAATGAAAGGCTGCCCGCTCGTTCGCCCTTCTCCGCGCTGTTCGCACAGCGATCTCTCCGGTTGCATCCAGCGGAGATCAAGAGCGCAAAGACTTCCGTCCCATTCTCCTCTGACGCCGGTACTCGCGTTTCTCTGTCCCAGGAGAAGGCTCGCGCGCGCGC